GTCCTGAAAAGCCCAACCTAATTAAAGCATAAATGGCATTTTTCTAATAATAACTAGACATGACAATTGTCATAGGGCTGCCAGATAAAAGAAGGAACTCAGTTAAATTGGAATTCAGATAAACCATAAATAATTTTTTAGTGTAAGTATGCTCCAAATATTACATGAGACGTATTTACTTATTTATTTTTATTATTATTATTTTTTTAATTGAATAAATTTGACATGTAACATTGTGGAAGTTTAAGGTGTACAGTGTGTTACTTTGATACATTTATATACAGGCATACCTCCCAGATATTGTGGGTTTGATTCCAGAGCACCACAATAAAGCAAATATTGCAATAAAGCAAGTCATTTGGATTTTTTTTGTTTCCTAGTGCATATAAAAGTTATGTTTACACTATACTGTAGTCTATTAAGTGTGCAATAGCATTATGTCTAAAAAACAATGTACGAAACAATTAAAAAATAATTAGTTGCTAAAAAATGCTAACCGTCATGCGAGTTGTAATCTTTTTGCTTGTGGAGGGTCTTATAGAAAACACAGTATCTGCGAAGCACAATAAAGTGAAGTGCAATAAAACAAGGTATGCCTGTATCGTAATAGATTACCGTTGTAGCCATATTTATCACATTACATAAACACGGTGCAATATTATCACCTATATTCCTCATACTGCAGATTAGATTCGTGACACGTATTTATACTAATAGATAATGCGTTGTTTATCTGAAATTCAAATTTAACTAGACATCCTGTATTTTTGTTTGCTAAATCTAGAACACTACAACTGCAGCAGAGAGACTGCACATCTCACTCAAGGTCACACAGCTAATAAAGTGTAGAGCTTGGCTTTGAAATTATGTGTCAGACCCCCCAAGATCATGTGCTATCCAGTCCATCAGGCTGCTTAAAGCAGAGGTAATAAAACTTAGGAAAAGGCACTGGCATTCCAAGAAGCCATCTGGTTATTGTTCTGTAAAACAGCTTATAAAAGTGGAAGAACGATGGCCAGTTTTGACTGCTGAGCCCACCTCGGTACTCATTACGTATGAAGGAAGATTCTGGAGATGCAACATTCAAACAACATTCTAGTGATGGTGGTGATGGTGGAAATCAGTTTTTCCCTTCCACTATTCTGTGCAAGGGTGATCTGGGACATTGGGGTCACAGGCATTTTGGTTTTGCTGGGCAATAGGTGAGGGCGTCAAGGTAAAAAATGATGAGTACAATTTCTGCTAATTCTAATAGTTATACAAATATTTTTGCTTACAGTCACCTTTTTCCAAAATCCACATGGCTGCAAGGCACCATCAGCCTTAAAACTCAATAAGGTTTTTTGAACCTCATTCAATTGATCCCACGTGCTAACGGACATTCTCCTGAACCATCTCTCATATTTTCCTTTCCTTCTCCACTTCCGCATCCATAACCCCAGTTCAGGCCCTCAAAACTATCCTCCCACATGACTGCAGTGCTCCCTAGCTTGTTTTCTTACTTCACACTATCCACCTATATGTATATAAATTATATGTATAAAAATTCACAAATCTAAAGTGGCCTGATACAATCTATCCAGTCACATGCTTAACATATCCGTTATTCATAGGAGAGTCTAAAATAAATTTCAATCAACCCCAAACTTACCTCAGTTTGTTTCCCCTGTTTAAATATCTCTTCTCATATCTACCCAATAAAAACTTCATGAATGCCAGGCAAGTGAGTAAAATAGTGAAGCTGGATTGGAGTTTGCATTTTAAACACTTTGGGATATTTTTCACGTCCACAAAGTAATATACATGGCTGTCTCATTCTACTTTAAAAAATTTTCTATTTTTGGCAGAGACCTCTGTGGAGAATAATTTGCTAGTGTGAGAGAGACAGTGGTGCATGCACAGTGCCATCCAGACTCACAATTGTGGGGACGCGGGGAACGGTGAAACAAGATTGTGCACGCCCTGTCTGAAGGGTAGCTGCCACTCAGCTCAGAAAGTAGGCACTGTGTGTTGCTGGAGTTTGCCTGTCTTCTCATAATTACATTGACTTGATGCCTTTTTGACAAGAATGCCACAGAAGTGACGTGCCTTTCTCAGTGCATCATATCAGGAGGCCCAGGATGTCTGTCTGTCCCGTTACTGCTGCTGTTAACTTACATCACCTGATTAAGGTGGTGTCTTCCAAGATTCTCCACTGTAAATTTACTATTTTTCCCGTTGTAATTCGTATGCATCTTGTGAGGAAATACTTTGAAATGGTGCAAATACCCTGTTTCTCATCATAATTTTGCACATATAATTTTAGCGTCAATTGATGACTTTTGCCTGCAACAATTGTTATAGCGGTGTTGGTTAAAAAGTGATTTTCTATTTCTACTTTCCCTTCTACATTTGTTCATTGGAATTCTACCATAAGGAAAAGCTGTACCTTCTCCTCCACCTATGTATTTATTCAATCACTTATTTATCAGCATGAACTCATAGATATTTACTTTACTTTATGGGTTATAATCCATCATTACTATTATTTCTTGTGTTGCTGAAATTGTCCCAGCTTTGATCATTAAGAGCTCCTTTAAGTTGGCTCCTATGTTGTTTTGACATTCTGCCATCAATTCTTGAGTACTTCCTTACTTTCTGGCACTGCAAAATGTTCCAGACTCATCCTGTACTTTTTCTGCTCCAGATCTGAAATCAACCATTTTTCCAGGAGCCCTGTTTAATTTTATTGGGGAAATTGTATTTAGAAACTGAGATCTGGGCCCAAGGTGTGTTGATTGCTACTTTGTCATTACACTTTTGTCATTGTTTCTAGGCCCTCTTAGCAGATAGATCTAGGAAATACACATACACCTCTATCCACTTTTATTTCTACCTGTATATATATTAAAAACCATTAGTACATACTAATCCCTCTCTAACGTCACAAGGTTCATTCCAGCTTCCCCGTTACTATATATTTTTAACTTTTTTTTCCAACAGTGAGAAAACTGGTTCTCATTATCTACAATATATTTACCTATTAGCTCATTGGTAGTATACACATTAAATATTTTAAGAATTGATAATCATGCTCTAGAGTACATTATTTATGTATAGTCCTTCTGTCTTGAGTTTTATAGCATATAATCCAAATATTGCTTTACATAATCGTTTAGATTAGTTATTTTTATTCCCCATCCCCTTGAGGTGTGGTTATAGGTATATTTCATTTTGGGTTCCTCCCACGGCCTGCTTATTTATTTATTTATAACTTCCTCCTCACCCATTCTATCCCATTCCCATTCCCCATTCTTGACACCCATTCTTACCTACATTCTGTATGTTACCAATCTCATTAATTTCTAGATTTTTTTCCTTCCAATATTTCTTTTTGAACAAATGAGCAGATAATGTATAATTTCTTATATCCCGTTCTTTCTTACCTGAAACATTCCATACTGTCTATACTCTTGCACTTTACTTTTTCACTTAATATATCCCACGACTCTTTCCATATCAAATCCTAGAGATTTTCCTTATTTTTTTTTACAGCTACATATTATTTCATCAAGCAGATATTAATCACTCTCCCTATTTATGGACATTTAGATTGTTTCCAGTATTTTATAATTATAAACAATGCTTGAAATAAATGTGCACATATGTATTTAATATTGTTGGGGGGTATATCTAGGATAAAATCTTAATCTCCTGATGCCTGGTTCAATGCTGTTTTGGATCAAATGATGTAATTAAGAGCACTTTGAAAACTAAAAAATGTTATATAAATATAGCAAAATAATACTATATTTTAGCATTATTTTCTTTCACTAATCTAACTGTAACTTCTTTTAAGATAAGCAGTTTAACTCAATAAACATTTGTTCTCAGCTACTAAACCAACTGGTTACTTTTCAAAATTTCCCCTGTGTTTAAATTCTAACAAAATTTCCCCTGTGTTTACAATCATTCCTTCATTCATTAAGAATGTTCTGATATTTACTAGTTTTTACTTAAAAATTGAATCTACTATTTATATAGTTTCTAGTATTGAAAAACCCACTATTATATTAAATTATGTTCTTTGTTTTATTCTTGTAGAGACAAAAGACAGAAATTACAAACTTCAGTCCTAATTTTGTTCCTTCCACTCCCTAAGTATGGATGTCAACTTGAGTGGGAGGATAAAAACAAGATCATGTGATGCCAGGAACACTCTCCAAGTTGTCTGCCAATGAGTTATCATAGGCTCAGGGGCTCTCTTCTCTTCTAGTGGGACACCCAAACTCAGCTTCCTTAGGTATTGTCGGCCCTCAGAACCCTCAGGTCTTCATATCCTGAACAACTGATATTTCAAAACGTGCAAAGGATGCTATACAGTCTACTTTGGGTCTATCTCTGGTCCTGCCTTCTAATCTGGGTTCATGGAATCCCTAATGTAGCCCAGGCTAGTTCATCAGGAGGTTGCCTTGGGATTTGGAATCTAGGTACTAAAGAGTATTTGCTTTATCTCATCCTTCATCATGACCTACAAAGACCTATTTAATCTACCATGAGGCTATTGCCAGGTCCAACCAAGCCTCAGAAAAATCACTTGTTGAGAAGCTGCAAAGTTTTGGTGAAATGCCAGTGCTGGATTCTGCAATTTCAGCAGATTCAACTGAGCAAATCTATGCAGCAAAAGACATTTCAGGTCTGCCCAAAGATGACTTCTGATGTGGCTTCAAATTTGTGCCTCATCTACTTAACCAATTGGGTCACTGATTAGACATAATGCAGAGTCTAATTTGTCAGCAGTTTGGTAGGAACCTTGCTATCTGGATTGGAGTTTTTGAACTTGCATGAGAACCTCTTCCTCCGTGGTCAGAGGAGTCAGGTAACATTTTGAACCACATCATTGAACCCAACCTTCTAAAAATTATAGTTGATTTTTTTTACTTAAGCAACCATAGGGAAAATAAAGTTTGTCACAAACAAACAGAATAAGTTTCCAAGAGATGTTGCTTTTATGTTCTTACCTCCTCGATCTCGGGCAGCTAAACTTTGACCCCTTCTTAATGTAATGTCCAATTGGTACATTCCGGGATCAGCCAAAGGGACATCTGCATTACTGGTTCCAGCAGTATTTATTTTCTGGAAAACAAGAAATATACAAAATATTAAATTTATTAACTCTGTTCTACTTCCTCCAATGGGGGACCATATGTAGCTTAATTCAAACCATAAGAATTAGTCAATAAAATAAATTATCTTGGGTGAATTCACACAATATCATAATCACCCAGTACTCTGAAGGTTTTGAGACTCATGAAATTCTTTGGACTCAAAATAAAAACATGGCCGTTATAGGAATTTCTGTTTTAACTCAGATTAGACATAGCAAATATAATATGAAAAACATTTCCCATGGAAAGCCCCACATAATTCAACTGAGAAAGACTAACGTAGCAATAATGTCTGAAGTAAAAACACAATCAATGATGAACGGAGAATAAAGATATGCAAGAGCATTTGATTTTCACATAACTGAAAGTGAAAATTAAAATGATTTATTGAGGTGACTTTGTTGACTCATTTATCTATGCAAAAGAGCTCAAACTGATGGATTACACACTTCTATTTCAGCCCCAACATAAAATATGACATAATTATACAGGAATAAATTCACCCAGCATTTTGACAGCACTTGCAAGAAATAAATTCTCAATGGGGGTAAATTTCTAATGCTGCTTTCTATGGAATAAAAGTGCACAAGCTATGTCTATAAATAAAAATCTTTGCAAGGCTGCCTCTATAGAATAGCAAGAATATACTCTGTTAACTTACTTGGCATTGAGTTACAAATGCACTTGCAAGAGGAATGACTATATTAAAACAACACAAAAGAAACATATAGTAAAAACTGTACAGGTCATATTTTACACTTTCTGCCACTTTGAATACAGCAGGAAAACTTACTTTTCTTCACACGTTTGAGGTGATTTTAAATTCTAATATAGAATACTACTCAGCCATAAGAAACGACGAAATCCAGCCATTTGTGACAACATGGATGGACATTGAGGGTATAATGCAAAGTGAAATAAGTCAGAGGGAGAAGGCCAAATACCGTATGATTTCCTTCATTAAGTAGTAGATAATAACAACAATAAACAAACACATAGGGACAGAGATTGGATTGGTGGTTACCAGAGGGGAAGGGGGGAGGGAGGAGGGTGAAAGGGATAATTCGGTACATGTGTGTGGTGATGGGTTGTAATTAGTATTTTGGTGGTGAACATGATGTAGTCCATGCAGAAATAGAAGTACAATGATGTACACCTGAAATTTTTGCAATGTTATAAACCAATGTTACTGCAATAAACAAAAAATGAAAAAAAAAAATTCTAATATATTTTTTTCCAATTAAAAGAAATGTTCTCTTGTTTTGGAATAATATGCATGGATAAGGTAAAATATTAGACACCGGTCTGGCTCTTTTAGTTCTGTAGTTTACACAAACTGCAACTATAAAGCAGCATTTTTTTCTAAGGTTTCAATACCAATATAAGAAGCTTTCCTATAGGAGCAATTATTGTTTAAAATAAGAAACAGCACCACTTTGGCTGATAACCCAAACTCATCATTTCTCCTCTGTTAATGATAAAAAGGAATTCACTTCTCATGATATCTCTGTGTCAATGAATGACAGTGCGGTTCCCCCAGTCAATCAGGCTAGAAACTGACAAGCTGTGCTTGATTTCTTCATTTCCCTCTCCCCCACATCCAAAGAGTTGTCAAATAATCCTATCCACTCCATTTCCATATTACATCTCCCAGTTGTCTTTTTCTTTTAATTCCTATGCCACTAATTTGGATCAAGCCTTCAAACAACAGAGGAACAAGAGATAAAATGATTGTTTTACTCTTCCCTCAAATATCCAACTGCCCCATCTCCTTGGGCTTACCAAATATAACAACCTAGGGGATATCCCTCCACACTGTTGAAAGTCTTATACAAACAAATACACATACATACTAGGTTTGTTTTCCTGTGGTTGAGTTTTCAGTTTTTGTTTTTAACAAAGATAGTACTATATTTTGCCTATTATTTCACAATTTATTGAACTTAAGAAAAATATCATGGGCATTTTTCTAATCGATACCCATAGATCTATCTAGTTTTTTATTTTTATGGTATATCATTTTCCACAGTGTGGGAATAACATAACATATTTCTTCAATTATTTCCTATTGATGAACATATGAGTTGGTTTCAGTATTTGCCAGCACAAGAATTTGTGCTTTTATTTCTCTTGTAGAATGAATTTTTCCAAAAAGGTTTAAATAGTTCAAACTCCTATCAAAAGTGTACAAGAGTGCCTATTTCCCATATCCCAGTCAGTATATGATGTTACTAATTTTTAAGTTTGATGGGCAAAAAATGTTTTCTTCCTTCAATATGTATTTGCAGAATTATGGAAAGGTGTCTTGAAACTAGTGTAAATGGCAAGAGAATGACAGCTGTTTACCGGGCCACACAGAAGATGTGAACTTGGAAAGAGAGGAAGCCAACTAAGGTCTCCTAAACAACTTTTCAAAGAACAGTTGCACATGGGTCTAATTAATAAGCAAGATTTAAAGTCAAATCCAGCAAACATTTGTTAAGCTCCAAGTATGTTCCAAGCCTTTCATTAGATTCTTTTATATACATTGTTTCAAAATAAACAAATCTATTAATAAATATTAAATATGGATAGATTTACTACTTTCTAAGAAATGGGATAAAATCTGAGGGAACTGAGAAATTTTCCACCCACACTGCATCCTCCTGTTGTGTTGTGATAGGTACCTTAGAGGTAGGAAAGTTAGAATGCATAGATATTGGATTTTTTTGTAGCTTTCATTGCTCTATTCAGTACCTCTTGAAGTTTAGAGTGATTATAGAATACGTGGTTTTATATTTTAAAATGTGTATTACACTGCATGAACAACTTAAGAAATTTTCAAAAGTAATTTTCTAGATTTTTCACTTTTGCTGTTTAGAATTTAATACCTAGTTAAGAAATAACTTTATGGACTTACATTTATTGGCTTTTTAAAGCCTGAATAATATTCCATTTTGTGTGTTTGTGTATGTGTACGTGTATACACATTTTCTTTATCCATTCATCCTTCAATAGACATTAGGTTGTTTCCATATCTTGGCTATTGTGAATAATGCTGTAATGAACATGGGAATGCAGATATTTCTCCAAGATACTGATTTCATTTCCTTTGGATATATATACTGCCTTCCCCCTCTTGTTTTTCATGTCTTCCTACCCAGTCTTCAAGGACCATTTCATTAGCACTTTATACCTATCTTCTCCATTATCACATTCTATCTCAAATGTCATATTTGCCATTTTAGATTGTAAACTTTTAAAATCAGGGACTAGAATGTTTAAGGATCAAATTGAACACAAATTATGATAGAGGATCTGAGGATACATGATCTAGCTGAATAGACACATAACATAGGGATCTATAACAAAGTTGGTTAATCCATGGGCAGTTTTTTCTCTCTCTCCTTCTGTGCCCACGTATAGCATCTAATCTGTTTTGGCATCTTCTTTCATGAGGAACCTAAGTATATCCTTAGAATACTTGCTCTAGGCTGCCATTACCAACTGATCATAATTGGCACTTAAAATGAAGCCCTGTCCACTCAAGAGCTATAATTGAAGACAAACTGTGCTATAATGGAGTTATTAAGTCTTTGAGAGAGCAGGAAAGAAAGATCAACTATTATGGGAGAAGAATCTCAGGTGGCCTCATAGAGAAGATAATGGAGCAGGGTCCGAAAACATGGATAGGACTTTGACAAATGAAGATATGGAAGAAGGGAGGATGGGAAAATCAAAATGAGCCCAAAAGTAAGTAGCCACCAGAGGGTGCATCATTAGATTGTGTGAGCAATAAGGCAGACAGGAAGACTGATGTACGGTGACAAAAGGCGGAGGAGAGTTTCAACCTGAGGGCAACAGGAAACCAGCACAGGCTTTTGAAGAGAGAAGCAATAAAACCAGGCATCATTTAACAAACAATGTATTGCCTATCTTTCATGTTTCCTGCTCTGACAACTAAGTGCTTAGATTTCAGAGATGAACAAAACCTGGCCTTTTCTCTCTGCAGGGTGGAAGAGACTAGAGAAATCCTGTGGGTATAGGAATTATTTAAAAGTTTTTATAACAGTCCAGTTTAAGTCACAATGGCCTGATCTGGTCAGTGGTAATGGAAATAAAAGATGAATTTGAGAGATATTGAGGAGATCAATCAACTGAATTCGTCAACTGACAAGATCGGGGAGATATGGGAAATGGATGGATGAATCACACAGAAGTCTGAGCTGAGCTCCTAGAAGAATGGTAATGCCAGTAGTAGAGAGCAGAAAAGAGAGGAGAAGAGCAAGTTCCAGGCCACCACTGTGTCAAGCACCAACTTGGAGATCCCCAACTCTATAAAAGAAGAAAGTCATGGACTAAAATAGATCTAGAGAGACATTACTCTTCAAGCTCAATGAAATAGTTCCAAGAAGAAAATTGGTAGGCCCATTATGGAGGGATACCAGAAACAATTTTTTATTGTAAAGTAACTCTTAAAAAATGTTTATTAAGTTCCCAAATGTAAGGATGTATTCGGAAAGATGTATCTGAAGCGCTAGGCACATGTATAGCTCTAAAACAAACTTTATCATTTTAAATATCTTTTTTTCCCTAAATTTACAATTTATCTAGTGACTACTATAAGCACTTCAAATACACACTTCCCCTGCCTAAACTGCCATGCTCTGCCCTTAGATGTTTGTTGCTTATTTTTAACCACTTTATTGAGGTATGATTGATATATAAAAAGCTGTGCATATTTAATGTATACAACTCAATGAGTTTAGAGACAAGTATATGTCCAGGAAACCATCACCACCATCAAGGCCACAAACATATCCATCACCTCCCAAAGTTTCCTCTTGCCCACTTTACTTTTATCATCATTTTTTTGTGTTATGAACACTTGTAAGATCTACCCTCTTGGAAAGTTTTAAGCATCAATACAGTATTGTTAGCTATAGGCATTATGCTATATAGTAGGGCTCCAGAACTTACTCATCCTGC